CTGAGGCAGGAAGATCATTGCAAGTTAGAGGCCAGCCTGAACTGCATAGGCTTTGTCTCAAAAAGATTTTTAAAGAGAGAGAGAGAGAGAGAGAGAGAGAGAGAGAGAGAGGGTGGATGTAACTGTCTTCCTCTAGCGGAACCTTCCCATGTCCTTGACTCTATACACCTTCACTTCCATCAGCATCCTTAACCCTGAATCTGAGCCTACATTAGTACTACTCTACATGCCAGCTGATCTCCATGCTCCTGCCTTTCTGGATCTATTACAGGAAATCGTGAGTATTCATAAAAACAGAGTACAGTTATCTATGGGACTTACAGAGCTGGTGTGATGATATGAAATAGTACGCAGGACAGCACTGAACATTTCCAAGGCACTCAAACACGTAAGTGTGGGGGCCAGCGAGACAGCTCAGTGGCCTACAGCACCTGCTTAGGCAAGCTTAAGCAAGCGCCCAGGGACCTTGGTTCAATCCCGGGCACCACAGCCATACCAGCCCTGCCCCCAGGGCAGGCTAAGCCAGCCACACACACACACAAAAAAAAAAAAACTTAGGTGTGGGCTGGTGATACAGCTCAGAGGCCCAGTGCCTGCCAAGGTCCTGAGTTCAATTTCCGGTATAAAAAAATTTTAAGTGAATAACACTAACATGAATGTATTTTCTAAGCCTCAAAAGAATTTGAAAGGATTTTTTTTTTTTTTTTTTCTTGTATTTGGCTAAGGCTGTCTTTCACCTGAGGCTCTTGTACTTTTTTTTTTTTTTTCTTGAGAAGGGCCTTGCTATGTACTCCAGGCTGGTCTCAATCCCTGACTTCAAGTGATCCCCCTTCTGAATAGCTGGGACTACAAGCACATACCACTGTGAAAAGATTTTTAAATTAAAGGAAAAAGCCAATTGTTTAACATAATTCCTGCATGTTGCATGTATGTTAAACCTTGGACTCCCAGTAAGACACAGCAGGATGGGTAATACACATGCTTGTTTTCTCACCCTTTTTTTTTTTGTCTGTGACAGGGTTACACTATGCAGTTCAGGTTGACCTTCACCTTACTTTGTGCCCCAGGCTGGCCTCAAATTCACAGCAATCCTCCTGTCTCAGCCTCCCCAAGTACTGGGATTAAGAATGAGTGTCGGGGCTGGTGAGATGGCTCAGTGGTCTAAAGCACCTACTTAGAACAAGCTAAGCTAAGCAGGGCACAGGGTCCGCGGTTCGATCCCCCAGCACCACATGCCAGCCAGTCCGCCCCCTGGTGGGCTGAGCTGGCCACACACACACACACACACACACACACAATAAATAAATATTTAAAAAAAAAAAAAAAAGAATGAGTGTCACCATGCCTAGCTTTGTGTCTTGTTAAAAATTGAAAAATCACAAAATGTTGAGGCATAGTGCCACTAGATCACAGCCACTGGGAAACACATCATGGCCTAGGAACAGCTACAGCCATCAACTCTGAGGGTCCCCTGCAGAACTGTGGGAGTCAACAAACAAGGGATGGCAAGGAAACCAGGGCCTACGCTCCAGGAAGGCAGACTGTTTGCTTTCCTTCTGTTGCCTGCTTGTTTGCACCCCCTTTGGCTGGGCTGACACTTAATGCTTCAGTTAACACTGTAAGCTAGAGGCCGAGAACAGCCATTAGAATGTCCTGACATAGAAACAAACCACAGGGCTGGGGAGATGGCTCAGTGGAATAAGCATTTCCCTGGCAAGTGCAAGGGCCTGAGTTCAATCCCCAGTTCCGCAAAAAAAAAAAAAAAAAAAAAAAAAAAAAAAGAAAAGAAAAAAAAGAAACAAACCACAGTGATGCTCAGGACAAATTCAGGAAGCAGAGTGACCTCATTTTACATTTCTGCAAATTTTTTTTGACACAGGTTCTCAGTATATAGTTGAGACTGGCCTTGAGTCCACATGCAAGCCTAAACTGGCTGCAAATCCACAGTGATCCTTCTGCTTCAGCCTCCCAGAAGTTGGGATTACAGGCATGTGCTGCCATGTCCAGAGCAAGCTTCTTAATGCCCAACATTAATTAAGAAAGACAGCTAGGGGGCTGGAGAGATGGCTCGGTGGTCTGAAGCACCTACTTAGAACAAGCTTAGCAAAAGCATCAGGGTCCGCGGTTCAATCCCCCAGCACCACATGCC